ATGATCTGGTTGAACTGTAAAGTGCCTTGAGATGACATGTGTTGTGAATTTGGCGCTATATAAATAAACTGAATTGAATTGAATTGATAACTCAATTGCATTGACTCATTTCAAGTGCTTTTTACTCAATTATCTTATTTTAAGAGTAAATATACTCACTCCATTGACAAAAAACTCATTTACTTACTCATATTAAGGGTAAATAAACTTGATTTGAGACATTTTTACTTATTTCTAGATGGTTTTTCCAGTGAGGTGAAAGACTGGTCTAAACACTGCAAAACTAGAAAAAATTAATTAAAAATGTCTCAAATTAAGTGTATTTAGCCTTAACATGAGTAGGTGAATGAAATGAGACAATTACATTTTTTTTCTTGTTTTAAACATAGATTGTCTCATTGGCAAAGTTTTTCATTTACCTCCTGAATTTAAGAAAAAATGACTCATCTAGATTTAGATTTTTTTCCAGTGTAACTGTATGATGCAGGAGGTGACGGATTGAGTCTGCATAGAGGAAAAAAAGCTGAAAAACTCCAGAGGATTTTCTCCAAACATTAAATCCCAGAACATTTCAAACCAAACCGACCCTGAAACAGAGACTAGTTCATCCTAATCTGAGCAGAGTGTCTGCAGGTCAATGCAGGGAGGAATGATCTGATCTTTATATTGGAGAAACCAAACAACCAACACAGAAGATCGCCCTCTTCTGGACAAGACTGCGCTACATCTACACCTGATGGACAAAGGACATTCTTTGGAGGAGCAGAATGTTCACATTTTGGACAAAGAAGACAGGTGGTTTGAGAGGAAGGAAGCATCTATGTTAAGAAGAGATCCTTGCACTGCAGCAGAGCACAGATCTCCTCCATAAACCCAAATATTGACAGCAACTGTATCAGATGTCATATTAATATTGCAGCTTTGACTCATATGTTCTGGTCCTGCCATCTGTTGTTAGGCTATTGGTCGATATATCTGATGTCAAAAGTCTTAGGAGTCACTTTACAGCCCTGATGAAGCTAATTTAACTAAGAACCAACAGAACATTCTAGCATTAGTTTCTCTGCTCGTACGAAGGCGAATTCTACTCCACTGGAAGTCAAGTGCGCCACCTACTGTCGCTCAGTGGCTGAAAGATGTAATGTTATTTTTGCACTTGGAAAAAATGAAATGTGCTATAAGGCGCTCAGACTAATTTAAATCTGTTTGGGAACCTTCCTCTCATGCTTTAGTGGCCTCCAAGAACTTCCTCCAACATTTCATTAGATTGAAAGATTCTATGGTTTAATTAAAAAGCTGAGCAAACTCAAAGGAACACTTTGTCGGCCGAGAGGACCTTAAAACGCAGATGGAGCTGTTCACCTACTGTTTTAATTGGTTTATTCTGATGCCTGCTCACATTTAATAAAAACTGAAGTCTACTGTCGGTGCATTGTTTTGTTTTTTGATTCATTAAATCACAATTATTGTAATTATTTTTGGGTCCAGTCTGGGTGGGGGGAGGGTGGGGTTTTTCTGAATGTGTATAAAATTTGAAAAACGGAAAGTCTTTTATAACCATGAAGACCATCTATTGTTTCTACCTCTGACTTTTTTAATAAAAAGATTTGAATAAAAAAAAAGAAAAGAAAAACAACCTTAAACAGAGAGGTGGACCCGTTCATCCGTTTCTATCTGCATGTTTTCTTTGTTGGGCTGCTGGATAAAACCTGGAACTAAACGCTATTTCTGACATTTTGAATTG